GTCCACCCACAGGCCAATTAATGTAATCACCGAAGGCACAGACACTTTAATTGAATCAATCAATCAATCAATCAACAGAGCAAATTAGGTATTAAAGCATTTTCCTAAAACCTCATCACAATGTATGGAAAGTGCTTAATGAATATGAAAGTGTCATAAGACTTTTACATTAATCACTATCATGATGAAAACCAGCATTTATACAGCACCTTAGGGTTTGCAAAGTCCCTTATATATAGTAACTCATTGAATCTTTACAACAACCCTATTATTATTATCTTTATTTTACAGATGAGGAATCTGAGACACAGATAGGTTAAGTGATTTGGCCAGGACCACAGTGCAAGTGGCTGAGACAGGATTCAAACTCAGATCTTCCTAATTCCAAGTCCCACACTGCATCCACTGAGCCAATGAGCTGCCTTTTGGCTGTTGGATGAAGGGCAAATAATGCCACATGGGAAACATTGTATGATTAGTTGAGAGGCTCAAATTCTACTTCTCGGGTTGCAGATGAAATAACTGTTACGGCGTCTCAGAAAAGCACTGAAATCCATCTAGCTGTGGAAAAGCTTCTTGTTGGTAGTGGTGGTGGTCTTTCATTCTTGAAGAAGACCAATGACGTCATGAATTGGATTTAAGTGAGGCAGAGTTGTGACCATTGGCTTCACTCTGTCCTCCACAGTTATCGGAAGTCCAGTGGCAGAACAAAGGTTGGGATGACTGGCCATGACCCCAGATATAGTGGGTGGAAGAGCTGTCATTTGTCTTTCATGCTGGAAGAGGACTATAACATCAGGGAGATGATGCCATGACATGCAAGCGAATTGGATTTAAGTGAGGGAGGGCCGTGCAAAGTCACCAGCCTCACTTTCTCCTCTGGAGCCACCCGGGTTAAGTGGCAAAATATAGATCAGGATGACTGGAGATGACCCTGAATGCAATGGGAGACCTTGGCCTTTTTTTTTTTTTTTTTGCTTTTTGGTGAGGTAATCGGGGTTAAGTGACTTGCCCAGAGTCACACAACTAGTGTGTCAAGTGTCTTAGGCCATATTGAAACTCAGGTCCTCTTGACTCCTAGGCTGGAGGTATAGCCACTGTGCCACCTAGCTGTCCATAAACCTTGGCCTTTTTAAGTTAAGGTCTTTAACAGGTCTCAGTGTGACTGAGGCAATGGCCATTCAGTGATTAAGGCTAGGTGGGTGCAAGAGCTACTCTGGGAGCTAAGGACTATGAGAAGGAATTGCTCTTTGTAGGGAGGAGTTCTCCCCTCTATTCCCTTCCTCTTCTCTCCTTTCCCCTTCCCTCTCCTCTCTTCCCATCCTCTCTAAGTCCTTTTCTCTTCCCTCTCCTTCAATTCTTTCCCATCTCCTCTCCTCTTACTCCATCCCTCCACTCCCTTCCAATTCCCCTCCCATCTCATCCCATCCCATGATACCATATGCATTTTCTACAACTGGAACTCATTACCTTAGTAATGTAAGTTTCTGCCCTCTCGCCCCATGGATCTTGGATGTATTTGTGAAAGTCCACCCCAGACTTAACAGGTGAGTGGTTTTGCGCCAACTATGCCACCCTAATAAAATTCCTTTTGTAACAGTCTATTAAGTCTGACTGGCTAATTGGTAACAGGAAACACACTGTGGGAGCCTGTGAGCAGTAGCACTAGAAATGTAGCCCCTCTGTTACTCCTAGAACTCTGTAAACAGCTGCCCTCTGGCAATGTTAATCTAAAATGCTTAGCACAGTACTGGAACATAGTGGGTGCTATATAAATGTTAGCTATTATTATTAAATATGTATGTGCTGCCGCTGCTGTCGTTATTATTTGTCTTTCATTCTTGAAGAGGACCATGACGTCAGGAAGGTGACACCATGACTTGCAAGTGAATTGGATTTAAGCAAGGAAGGGCTGTGCAAAATCACCAGCCTTGGGGCAGCTAGGTGGCACAGTGGATAGAGTGCCAGCCCTGAAGTCAGGAGGACCTGAGTTCAAATCTGGCCTCAGACCAAATACTTGACACTTACTAGCTGTGTGACCCAGGGCAAGTCACCTAACCCCAATTGCCTAAAAAAAAAAAAAATCACCAGCCTCACTCTGCTCCGGAGCCATCTGGGTCTAGTGGCCAGATATCGATCAGGGCAACTGGAGATAGCCCCCATTTGCTGCTGAAAGGCAGCATGGAGTACTGGCACCTATGACATATGATGGTTGTGTGACTTCTCAGTGCACTTAAATCCTATTTATGAGCAAGTCAACATCACCCTCATGATGGCATTGGTCCTCTTCAAGAATGAAGGATGAATAAGAACAATAAGTTGCAGAGAATGTGGTGACCTGTATTAGTAGAGGGAGTTTCCTCCCCTGGGAGTCCCCTATAACAACAACATCATAACCTCATGTTATCCCTTTCTGTGTCCTACCTTATCTTGTTGCAATGACACACGGTGCACAACATTCTCTGAAGAATGAAAAATAAATACCATGCATGCCCAGGGCAATGGGGAGGCTTCTAGTGGGTGCGAGTGGACTGTGACTTAGAACCTTTGAAGAGCAAGAAGATTGAAAGATGATATCAGGGAAGTGGAGGGAGAGAAGATGAGCTGGCATGGCATGGATGGGGGATGGCAGGGGCAGCAGGTGGGAATGCTCCACAGGCATCTTTGAGATATCAGGAGAAAACAAAGAAAGAGGATCTTCAGAATGAATTTATGGGAGCGCTTGGCAAAGGTCTCATTGGATGAATGTGCAGGCCTGGATGGGTTGCAGATGATGTGGTTGAAGGGAACTTCCAAAGGTATAAGGTAGCAGATCCATTTGAACATGCAATGTCTTCTCCTATTGTAGGAGAGGGAGAAGGACTGAAGCATGATTTCAATGGCAAGTGAACTCTTGGTTGAACAAGTTTTTTTTCTTTCTTTTTTTTTTCTGGTGAGGCAATCTGGGTTAAGTGACTTGCCCGAGGTCACACAGCTAGTAAGTGTTAAGTGTCTGAGGCTGGATTTGAACTCAGGTCCTCCTGACTCCAAGGCCAGAGCTCTATTCACTGTGCCACCTAGCTGCCCACTGCGCCACCTAGCTGCCCTGAACAAGCTTTCTCTACCAAAGCAGGGCAACCCCTTCCCTGAAACTTAGAATCTGAGAAAACTGCCTAGAGCACAGAGAGGTCAAATGCCTTGCCCAGAGCCACACAGCTAGGAGGCTCCAAAGGTGGAGTTTGAACCCAGGTCTTGAACTTTTGACTTTGAGGCTAGGTCTCTGTCCACTACACCACTGGTGTCTAACTCCAAAATTATCGTGAAGATTGCTGTGGGCTGAATATTGACATAGAAAACCTCATATTAACATTATCTAGGTTCTATTATATTTTTATTTTTTTTTAGTTATTTCCCAATGACTTTCTAAACTGGTTCCCACCAGGACACTGGTGTTCAACACTTCATGCCACCTCTCTTCCTATCATATTATCTCATCTCACATCTCATTATTGTTATTTCATATCATATCATATCAATTATAAATTTAGAACTGGAAGAGATATCAGAGACCATTTTGTACAACCTCCTTATTGTACTGATAAGGAAACCAAGAGTCAGGGAGTTGCTGTGATTGTCGAACATCACAGAGGTAATCACAGTCAGAGGCAAGGTCTGAACCCCAGTCATCTTATCTAGAGGCAAGGCTTTTAATATTGCACTTTCCAGTTATGGGGGCAGCATGGTACAATGGATAGAATGCTACAGTTGGCATCTGGAAGATCATTCTTAACTTCTGTTTCTTATACTTACTTGATGTGAGACTAGCCATGGGCAAGTCACTGCACCCATATCCCAGACTTATTGTAAAGACAGACAGACAGACACACACACAGTGAAGTGTATATATACACGCATTGTGAAGACATATATATACATATATACACATATATGTATATATGTGTATATGTAAATATGTGTGTATAGATGTGTCTATGTACTATATATGATAAAAATACCTATATCATTTTATATGTTAGATTATATATATATGATTTTATATATATGCATATATACTATATAATCATATATATGAGAACTATTTTGCAGATGTTAAAGTGTGGTATAAATGGTGGTAGTGCTACCTACTAGAGGCTATTAGAGCCTCAGTTTCCTTATCTGTAAATTGGGGAGAACACCATTTATTTTATCAACCTCTCATAGTTATTGTAAGGAAAGTACTTTGTAAACCTTTAAGTCTCATAGAAAAGGGAAAGGACACCATCATCATCCTTAATATTATAACTTTAGAATAGATATGCCTTGTGTAATGCAATGAAAAGGGCTATGGACTTGAGTGAAAGGATCTGGGTTCAAATTCTGATTCTGTTGTCTCCTGCCTGTGTGACCTTTGGTAGATTTCTTCAACTCATCGGACCTCAGTTTTCTCATCTGTGAGATGAAGGTCTGGACCCAGATGGCCTCTCAGGTGTCTTCAGACTCTAAATCTAAGATTCAAGTAGAGGATTTATGGGGTGGGGAATATGTGGATATGTGGAGGGTTCAGCATGAATAAACACCAAGGAAGCTGAGAGTCTATATGAGAGTAAGGAAAAACCAAACCCTGACTATCAGACCCTGTCATATCCAATAAGGGACATGATGATTTGGATTCTATCTAACAAATCTAACAAATATTGCCACCTAATTCTCAGGCTCAAGGGTCCTTGTTAAGTAATGGACACATTGAAAACCTACCCCATTTCCCAGAAAGATTCCAGATACAGATGATTAAAAAGGGTCTGGACTAGCTTTCTTCCCCACAAGTGGGCTTCATACAAAACCCACCCAAAGACCATGTTATGAATCCTGATTCTTGACTTTTTGATATCAATCTCCACCTCCTGCACCTGAATAGACACATCTGTTCTGCTCAACAATGGAGGTCAAGGAGAAGACAGAGGCCACACTCATTCAAAGATGCCACCCTGGTTTTATTCTGTATAAATCACTGTCCAAACCCCAGCACCTCTTACAAAATAAATCCTCAGGCCTGTCAGAATCCATTGGAAATATTTTTTGGTGGCGTCGCCTACAGACAGGGAGATGCAGAGGCCGCCTGCGCATTTCTCTTTGAAAAGCTGAACAGCAGGGGAAGCTTTCCAGGAACTCAAGACTCTGAATGCTGAAAAGAAAATCCAGATGTGAGTAGAGCTCTATGATATCTGAAGCAAGAAATTATGGAATAAGGTGTCTATTACATTTGTAGCTGCCTTCAATACATGACTCAACTGTCACTTCCTTCAGGAGACCTCCACTTGTGAGTGCTTTCCCCACCCCTGAAATTACTCTGCATTTATTCTGTCATATTCTGCAATTGCTTTACTGTATGAGCATTGTTTTCGTCTACTAGAGTGTAAGCTTTCTGAGGGCAAGGAGTTTTTACTTTTGTCTTCGTAGTCCAGCACAATATATGGCCCATAGTAAGAACTAAGTAAATGCTTGTGGAAGGAAGGAAGGAAGGAAGGAAGGAAGGAAGGAAGGAAGGAAGGAAGGAAGGAA